TTCCTTTCTCCTGTGGCCCTATCTTTGCCCCTCTTTTCTTCTAGTCTATTGTGTGTTGTATTGACTGGGTATGGGTTCTGGACTGCCTTCTTTGAACTTTCAGTAATAAACAATGAATTGGATTTTAGCAAGGCACAGTTACTCAAAGTTGTCAGCCTCACTGCCTTTTCTAGGGTCATCAAAGTATGTTATAATCTGTGTCCTGAGGATTCTCAAAATTACTTATCCATCCATACTGTCTTTGCCATCCTTCAGTCTCACAGCTGTGCATATTGGACATAACAAACTGGACATCCCATAGACGTCTTGAACTCAAAAGGTCCAAAACTGAAAACAATCACATCACAGATTTTAAAAAATAATTTTATTGATGTTTCCATTTTCTTACATCATCAAAATATTCCATGTGTAGTCCCACCTTCGTCTCCCATGAGAGCCGTCCCATAAGAGAAGTAGTGGGGTTTTTTATTTGTTTTTAAAGAGGAAAAATAATCAGCCCAACTGATCAATACATTGAGAAAGTCTAAAAACATATGCTATGTATAACATTTGTGGACCTCCCACTTTCACTGAGAGGTAAGTTGGGAGTATCTCCTCATATCTCTTCATTTGAGACCCACTTGATCTTTATAATTTTGTTACATTTATTTTTGATTCCTTGGTATGTAATAGTTCTTTCCATCCTTGTCTTTTGAAAATCACCTTCCTCATTCTTGCATTTTCTATACTTAAATCGTTTATTAACCAAGCATATTCTGTCCCTTATCTATGGATCATCAATACACATTATGCAGACCTCCCCCTAGTGTGAATTACATTGCCTGAACATTTCAAAAGAAGACGTTTTTCCCTGCTCCCCAAGTGAGGTACATCACAATCTTTCCCCCTAACTGTCCCATCTTCCTGCCTTCTTTATTACTGTCCCAGGGAACCACCATGCTCCCAGTCACCCTGGCTTGCAGGCCAGATGTATCACCATTGACTTGATTGTGATTTCAGACAAGGCAACAGCAAAAATAGACAGTTAAAAGAGATAAATGGAAAAACTTATGTTTTTTAAAAAGGCAAGGTAGACAGTGATTCAATTTCAGTTCTTAAAATGTGTGTGCTGAATGATATCACAGCTAAAGACTTAAAGGAAGAACTAAATGAATTACAAAGAAAAATGGATAGTAAAAGTATAATAGTGGATTACCCCAATATAGCCCTTTGAACCCTAAATAAATCTTACCAAACAATAAATAAGAAGTGATGACCTGTATACAATTTTAGAAAATTTAGAATGGGTATTCAAAAGAGTATACATAATTCTCACCTGGGTTTGAATCTTACCAAAAATTGATAATATATTTGGACACAGAGTACTCACAAATTCAGAAAACCAGAATTATTATACACATTCTTTAATGACAACAGTGAAAGCAATATTTTTAATGGGCCAATGAAAAAAGAGATTAAAGTCCAACGGAGGCTGAATAACTATTTTCACTGCCTGGTCTCCATGCCTGGAATTCTTCCTGTCTTCATCCTGGCTTCCCTGGAGTCCTTCAAGTCCCAGCTAAAGTTCCAACTTCTCCGAGAAGCCTTTTCCAATCCTCCTTAAACTTTGGGCCTTCTCTTTGAGGCCAAACTCAACTTGTACTACATATATTTTGTTTTTGGAGAGTTGTTTATATAGTTTCCTACTGGAGTGTGAGTTTCTTGAGGGCAAAGACTGTGTTTTCCTGCCTTGTTTGGTATCAACAGCACTTAGTAAAGTGCTAAAAGCACAAGTCAAAAAGAAAAATAATAGCAATTAAATACCAAAATAGAAATGCTGAAATCAAGGAATACATTAAGAAAATGAAAGCAAAAAATTAATAAATAGATAAAAGTATGAACATTTCAGGGGATAATCACTTGATTGCTAAATAAAACAGATAAATTGTTGGCTAATTTGATTTAAAACAAGAAAGGAGAAGGATTACCATTAACAAAAATGAAAAAATTTATATTAAAGAAATAAAGGATTTTTTTAGGAATTATTTTGCCCAATTATATATGAAATACATCAATCTACAATAAATATTTATAAAATATAAACTACTCAACAGAATAAGAAACAAAAAAATTTGAACAACCCAATTTCAAAGTAAGAAAGTGAACAAGGCATAAATGCCTCCTTATAGGATTAGAGTAGGAATGTGGGGATGGGGACTGCAGGATCAGATGTAGTCAAAAGTGAATTCTATCAAACATTCAAAAATAATTAGTTCCAAAATTACAGAAACAAGTTAATGGGATAAAGACTCAATATTTAAAAATATTGCTAGCAAAATTATATAGTGATGTGAAAGAAATGAGCTGTAGACCAAAACCTGACACTTTATACAAAGATAAGCTCCACATGGGTGGATGTTCTACATGTAAAAGATCACATCATGAATACATTAGAGAAATATGTAAAAAATTACCTATAAAATATGTGAATTTGAAAAAAAACTCATGACCAAGAAGGGATTGAAAGAATCATAAAAGACAAAATGGGTGATTTTGATTAAAATTCAAATTTGATTAAAAGTTTTGTACAAACAAATCTAATAAAGGTCAGTTTAAAGGGGAAACAATGGAGGAATATCTTTCTAGCCAGTTTCTTTACTAAAAATTTAGCTTCCAACATACATGAGGAACTGATTCAAATTTACTGGGATAAGAACCATTCTCCAATTTGTACGTACTGTAAGGATATGACCATCAGTTTCAGAAGGGAAAAGCCCACAGTATATATAGCCATGTGAAACAATGCTCCAAATTATTACTATTTGAAGGATGCAAATTCAAGCAATTTTAAGGCTGCATCTCACAACCATCAGATTAACAATGGTGACAAAAAACAAGGAACGTAAATAAAGTGGAGGAGTTGTAGGAAAAAGGCATATGGATGAACTTATTATTGGAGGAGCTATGAATGGGTCCAACCATTCTAAAAAGAAATTTTGGAAATATCTCCCCAAAGTTACTGAACAGTACATGCCTTTTGGCTCAGATATCCTACTACTAGGCCTACATATATACAAAAACATTTATACCACTGCTTTTGTGATGGAAAAAAAAAACAAACAAAAACCAAAAACCCAGAAACTCCAGGGTTTTCTATCAATTGGGGAATGACGGAAAAATTCCAGGATGTGTGTATAATGGAATGCTTCTGTGCTAAAAGAAATGAGGAAATAGGTAATTTAAAAGAAACGTGGGTTAATGACTGAACAAGTTGTGGTATATGGATGTATTGTGATACTGTTGTTCTATAAGAAATGATGAGCAGGTGGATTTTAGGAAAAACCTGGAAAGACTTACGTGAACTGATGTTGGGTGAAGTGAGCAGAACCAGAAGATTGTTCACAGCAACATTGTGCAATTATCAACTATGACAGACTTAGCTCTTCTCAGCAATACAACGATCGAAGACAATTCCAAAAGAATCGTGATGGAACCACATCCAGAGAGAGAACTGTGGAGTCTGAATGCAGATTGAAACATACTGATTTTACTTTTTTTGTTTTTTCTTTCTTGTTGTTTTCCCCTTTTTTTTCTGATTCCTCTTTCAGAATATGATGTGGAAATATGTTTGGCATGATTGCGCAGGTATAACTTATGTAAGATTGCTTGCTGTCTTGGGGAAGGCGGAGAAAAACTTGTAATTCAAAATCTTACAAAAATGTTGAAAACTATCTTTATGTGGAATTGAAAAAAAATACCATTGTTAAAAAAAGAAAACAATAAACAACAAAGACAAAAAAAACCCCTGTTCTCTGACTCAAAATAAATAAAATCAATAAAAGAGACATGGAAAGAATAGTATGAACTGATGCAGAGTAAAATGAACAGAGCCAGAGGAAGAACAATAAATTAATAATATTAGTTTTTTAAAAATGTAATTTTTGAAGGTGTAAGAATTCTAATCAACTGAATGACCATCCATAATTCCAGAGGACTGAGGACAAAAGACACTATGGATTTTGGGGGGGAAAGCAGATTTTGGTTAATTTGATAACACATCCTAGAATTTTGTGCGATAATAAAAGCACTCACTGAGATTATGAGAACAGTTAGATGGCACAGTCCACAGAGTGGGTCAGCAGGACTGAGTTCAAATTCAGCCTTAAACTTTTATTAGCTCTGTGTCTCAAGGCAAGTCATTTAACCTTGTTTAAAGCTCAGTTTCCTCACTTCTAAATTGAGCCAGAGAAGGCAATGGCAAACAACTCCAGCATCTTTGCAAAGAAAACCCCAAATGAGGTTAGGAAGAATTGAATAGGACTGAACAACAACACAGCACCTATAATTTCCTGATCCTGTTCTGTTTTCTGAAAGAAACATTCCTGTTTCTCCTGTTCCTTTCCTTTTATCCATGATCTTTCAATACCACAGTGGCAAGCTCAGCAGTCAGTCTCTCAGTTCTTTCAGAAGTAAGGGTGAAAGTAGGGGCAGCCAGGTGGAGTGGTGGACCAATCACATCCGAGGGTGAAAAAGATTTTCTTTTTAATCCCAATATAGGTTTCATCATACACAGTGTCCCCATTGTCTAAGAGGCAGTGAGTCAAAAGAACTGTTTTTTTCTAAGTCCTACTCAGTATTCCATTGTACCTTAATACAGAATGTTCTTCGATGGTCCTTTGTACTATCTTTTTCCCAAAGAGAGTTTGAACTAGTTTTGAGTTCTTTTATTAAGTTTATGCTCTAAAGGCTTTTATTAAGCTTTTAAAAAAATTATTTTCTTCCTCTGCCACCTTAAGTAAAAAAGAGAGAAAAAAACCTTACTTTTCCCTTTAACCAGTCCATTGCGCTCCACATGGTTGAAAAAAAAATCCCAGAATCAGCTAACATACTGCCCTTGGTGGTATAAGATACATTCAGCACCCTTATTAACCCCCTTTCCACTAAGAGTTGGGAGGAGTATTTCATCTATCTGTTTCATGATGGAACTCTGAAATGACTCCATAGCACTTTTTCTTTTTCAGTGAACAGGATTTGCAGTTTCCAAACCAGATATGATCTACCAGATGGAAAGAAAGGAATCATCTTGGATGCCAGAGGCAGATATTCAAAGAAGCAGCTTTCCAGGTGACTACATAAAAATCAACCAGATGGGTCATTGCAAAATACTGATCTGTTGTTCACTTTAGGTCAGAACCCTTGTAAAATGTTGAAGAAAGTGGTTCATCAAGGTTTCTCAGGCCTGTTGAGAGGAGCTAAGACTTTAAAAATTTGGTTTTTTACCTCAAAAAATTACTTTTTTTTGTGTATCTCTTTACTGAAATGTACATCTACTCTCAAAGAAATTTGTTGCCTCAGTACAAGGCAGTTATTTCTATTCTATTTGTTGAAGATTATTTTATCGTAAGCAGGTATTTTCCTACCTCAATTGCATGAATTCATTCTCCCTTTTAAAATGTGCACATTGCTTAAGGTATAAAGTAATGTACTCTTTTTGCCTCCAACTTCCTTTCTGATAATTCCTTCTGTTTTGTTTTTATGATTATGTTCCTTTGATGCTATTAATTTTTAAAATACTTAATCCTAATCTCATTCCTCTTCTTTCAGTCTGTCATGTTATATGTCATCCTATTTTTCTTTATGTTCTGAAATTATGTTTATAAAGGCATAACAACATGTTTATATGACAGGGCTTGTGTGGCCATAACTCCAGTATTGGACCTATAGGTTTTCATTACTTCGCTGTTTCACAAAAAGTTGTGAAAAATTTAGAGCATTCTTTGTTTTTGGTAACATTTTAAGGACGCAGACCTAGCAGTGGGACCATTGTGTCAAATGATATGAACAGTTTTGTACCACTAGCTAAAATTGCTGTGTTACTTTTAAGAAAAATGGCAGCAGTAGCTTAAATACCAATTTCAACATCACTGCCAAAATTTATCATTTTAAAGAAGTTTTGCTAATCTAATGGCTATTTATTGGTACTTCCTAATTGTTTTCATTTTAATTTCTTTGATTACCAGAGGTTCAGTACTGTTTCAGTCAATTAATAATTTCTCTTGTCAAAAATACCTGTATGTCTTACTCTTATGAATTTCAATCAATTCCTTGCAAAGTAGATATGTTGGATTTTTAGAGGAAATTTATGGCAACATTTTCCCCCTTATACTTCTTCTTTATTCTGTTTACTTCATGTAACTATGTCTCCTCTTTACTCTAAACCAAATTTTCCATTTTCTTTCTGTTCAGTCTTTTCCCTTCCTATTTTCACCTCAGAGGGTAAGGATATATTTGCAAGTTCTGAAAGTCATCTGTTTTGTCTTATCCCTTTCAAATGTCAGCCAATGAAAGTACGATAAGGGTTCATTTATCCCCCCTGGTAATTTTATCCCAAATGAATTCATTTACATACATTACCTTTGAGTCATCAAACTTTCACATAAGATAAATTGATCCTTAGTGAGTAGTGAAACTAGGGAGAACGCAAGAGAACAGCTCTAAAACCTTTGAACAACTAAGAACCTTGGGAAAGGGTTTTTAAAAAAAGGCCAGTTTAATCAGCTCTTTATTTTTCCTTTCAGAGAGCAGAGAATTTACTGGAGATAAACCTCCTGAATGTAATGAACGTGGGAAGGCCTTCAGGAGTAACTCACAACTTACAGTGCATCACAGAATTCGTATTGGAGATATTTTTACGAATGTAAGGAGTGTGAGAAAGCTTTTCTCTACAACTCAGAATTTGTTCATCATAAAAGAATTCATAAAAGACAGAAACCTTATGAATGTAGTGAAATGTGGACAGGCCTTCAGAAGTAAGGGATATCACACTGAGTATCAGAAAATTCATGCTGGAGACTTTCTTTATGAATGTAAGGAGTGTGGGAAGGGTTTCCTCAACAACTCAGGTCTTACTCAACATCAAAAAATTCATAGTGAAGAGAAACCTTATGAATGTTGTGAATGTATGGAGGCCTTCAGAAGTAAGACACTACTTTCTGTGCACCAGAGGATTCATACTGGAGAGATGCTTTATAAATGTAAGGTGTGTGGGGAAGCTTTTCTTTACAACTCAGAACTTATTCGCCATCAAAGAGTTCACACTGGAGAGGAACCTTATGAATGTTGTGAATGTGGGAAGGCCTTCAGGATTAAGACACAACTTACTCTGCATCAGAAAATTCATATTGGAGATATTCTTTTTGAATGGAAGGAGTGTGGGAAGGATTTCCCATATAACTCAGGACTTATTTGACACCAAACAATTCGCACTGTAGAGAAATCTTATCAGTGTACTGTATGTGGCAAGAACTTCATGAGTAAGTCACAGCTTACTGTGTATCAGAGAATTCATACTGGAGAGAAAACTTAGGAATGTAGTCAATGTCAGAAGGCTTTCAGGACAAAGACACATATTACTGTATGTTAGAAAATTCACATCGGAGACATTCTTTATAAGTGTAAGGAGTGTGGAAAGGCCATCCCCTACAGCTCATATCTTACTTGACATCAAAGTGTTCATATTGGAAAGAGACCTTATAAATGTAATAAATGTGGGAAGATCTTGAGAGTGAGGATACCATGTACTCAACACCAAAGAATTCATTCAAGAAACAAACCTTAAGAGTGTAATGCATGTAGGCAGGCCTTTGGACTGAGGACACTACTTTATGTCCATCAGAGAATTCACACTAGAGTGAGTCTTCATGAATGTAAGAAGTGTGGGAAGATTCCCCCAGCTAACTAGACTGTGATTCTGAGTCCCTAGATGCAGTTCAGAGAGTCCTTATTTAGGCTTCATGGGAAAAGAGAACTCTGACCTCTTAAGGGGCAAAGATTTAGTGTTATCCTCCCATGGACCTTCAGGGAGCGAAAGGTTATGCTGATCGAGCAGAGGTTACTGCTAGTAATATTGGGAGAGCCTTAGTATGAATTTTGATCCCGGGTAATCCTGGGCATATGATATGCAGGATGCTTGGGGATGACCTCTTGGCCAGGAGGTGAGCCTGAGCCTAATGAGCGATGAATAATTACTGACGGTGCTTGAGGAATATATCATAATCTGAGCTGTGTTCCTGATGTTGCTGGTGCTGCTTCTGCTCATAGTCATTTCGGTAGCCAGTGTGGACCATAAAGGCTTGGAATTATAACTAATAATTGATACAAATACAGGGAAGTCAATTCAACCTTGAAATGTACAACCAGTTCTTATATTCCTAAAATGACATATAATGCTAGCTAATGTTCATGAAGCCCTTTCTAATTCATGTTATACAGGATGCCCCAGAAGTCTTTGTGCCTCTAAGGGCTTTGAAAACTTGAATTGTATTATGTTTAATCTTCCTCAAACAGTAAAATCTGATGATTATGAAAACAGGAGACATCCTCCAAAGGATTTATATTATAATTAATATCAAATGATCATTTCTGCTTGGTCCAAACTATCCAAGCCCAGGTCTTACATGAAGTGTGGAGATACTGAAAGTTTTCTAGATCAATCTTATCACATAGATTCAAGACACAAAGGACACGGTCCTTAGTGCTCTCCAGTGTCAGAGAGAGCAAGTCACTATATTGGCGGCTCGACTGTAGGAATAGCCCTGAAACCTGCCTGTGTGCAGGGGCAGGGACCACCACTGCCACGCTCCTCCTCTGCCCAGACACCGCACATGGACTGAGGCAAGTGTTCCGGTGCTGGGCAGGCAGTGGACAAAGAACTCTGGTTAACAGACTGTCCTCTTTAAGTTTTTGTGACAGTACTCTCTCCTAGTTCTCCTGGCTACGTGACTGGTAAATAAATCCATTTGCTGGGATTTTCATCAATGGAACACCTGCTAGTTTGGTCCCCTTCTCCCCCTATATGATTCACTTGATGATTTCATTATGTCCTGTGCATTCAATTATGATCTGTATCATGTGATTCTCAAAATACTTATCCAGCCATAGCCTCTTTGCTTATCCTCCAGGCTCACATCTCTTATGGCCTACTAGACGTTGAATGTCCCCTAGACACTTTGACCTCAACAATTCTAAAACTGAAATCACAATCTCCCCTTTCTCTTGACTCTCACCTCTTTCTGACTTCTTGATTACTGTCCAGGGGACCTGCAGGGGATCACCCAGATTTAAACCTAAATGTTTCATCCTTGACTCTTTGCTCTTTCCCATCCCCTATATCCCATCTGTTGTGACAGCTTGTTGATTTTACCTTCATATCATCTCTCATATATTTCTCTTTCTCTCTGATGACATTGGCACCAACCTGGGGCAAACCATCATTACCTCATTATTGAATGATTACAGTAGATTGTTGCTCTTGTGGGTGAAACTGTCATTGTTGGAACAAACCAGAACCAATACCAAACCCCAAACTCCCAAATTTTAAGAGCCAATAAGGGTTTAGTGAGTGCACCAGCAAGAGAGCCCCACCTGGTTGGCCAGAGACTCCTTGAAAGAATGAAAGGACAAAGAGTGAGAAGAAGAGTCAGAAACAACTTTCTGGGAATTTTAGAAAAAGCAGAAAAAACAATAAATGCAAGAGAGAAAATGTGGCTAACAAAGGAAACAGACATTTATTAAGTGCTTACTAGGTGCCAGGTCCTGTTCTGTATGGAGTTTGTATCTAAAATGAGCATGTCAAAAATCACAGAATCAGCATTATCCTTTAAATAGGCACTCTTTAAATTGCTCATGAAGTGTATGGGGCAGCAACTTTAAACATAAGACTGTACCTGGAAAGAGACTAGGAAAATCCTAACTTCAGAAACTTGATAATGAAGCCTTCCTCCAACCTAAGGGACTGGACCTTTAGCTCCACTGCTATAAGGTATTCTCAGATGAACAAACACCCTCTACCAGTGCAGGTCAAGACTTTCTCTGCAACTTCCCATATATTTTTAAAACTAATTTAAATTAATTTATTTTGATTTATGAACAATCACTCCCATAAGCTTTTGAGTTTTAAATTTTTCTCCTCCTCCTTCTCCACCTCCATGCCCAAGATGGCAAGCAATGTGATACAGGGTATACATATACATTCCTAGTAAACATATTTTCATATTAATCATGTTGTAAGTAAGAATTCTGGTGGAGGAACCAGCAGAAAGAGGAAACAAAACATCACAGAATTAAAAGAAAAGCAAATAGTATGCTTAGATATGCATTCAAATTCCATCATTCTTTCTTTGGATGTGGACAGCATTTTCCATCATGAGACCTTTGGAGATGTCTTAGATCCTTGTATTGCTGAGAAGAGTTAAGTCTATCAGTATTACCACATAACTGATTATGTTATTTCTCTTCTTGAGTCAAATCTGATGAGAGTGAGGTTCAAACAATGTTCATCTCCCTCCCTTCTTTCCCTCTGCTATAATAAGTTTTTCTGCCTTTTCATGTAATGCAATTTACCCTTGTCTACCTCCTCCTTTCCTTTTCTCTTAGTACATTTTCTTAGTCATACCAGATTAATCCACTTAGTAGGATCCATTTAACTCACTTGGATTAGATTTTTTTTTAATCATTACATCCAAGTCAAGTAATACCCACCCCCTGTATGTATTCCCCTTTAACAGGGTGTAATAACAACACAGTTCTCAAGGGTTAAAACTGTCATCTTCCCTTGTAGGGATGTGAACAGTTTGCCCTTATTAATAACATGTTGTTTCTTTATGTCCTGTTTACCTTTTTATATCTCTCTTGAGTCTTGTATTTGAAGATCAGATTTTCTGTTGAGCTGCAACTTCTCATGTTAGAGAGTTGCCTGTGGGACCGAGTGGTTCAGTGTTGTGCCTTAGATCAAGGAGCAGGTGTGTATCAGAGGTTGAACTTTAACCCAGGCCTTCCTGTCTCTTAGACCCCTCTGCTGCCTTTGGAGAAAGTGATAGCAATTAAGAAAAAAAAAACAAAGTATCAATAACACATTTAAAAATAAAATACATAAAAAAACAAAAACATGAGGACAGTGAATAATTTTGTTACCTTCTTAAATGTAAAAACTGGAATAAGAGTTTATGGCTTTATCCACCACCCTCTTTTTTGTATTCTTTATGAATCAGAATGTTTCTGCTTGTGGAGTGATGAGTTCATAATTTTTACACTGAAGAAGGAGGAAGAGGCAGAGAAGAGGAATGCAGCAGCTCTAGTCTGTAAAGGAAAGCAGTCCACCTCAGAGAAGGGATGGAACAGAGAGAGATGCTATGGAGCGTGATCACACACATATTATTATGCGCAATTCCCAGCCAAGCTGTGGATAAGGAAGGGGGTGCAGTACATTCATGCCTGACTCTGTGTGTGTGTGTGTGTGTGTGTGTGTGTCTTTTGGAGATGGAGGTAAGACATATTCAGATATAGCCAAAAAATAAAACAAAAGTAAAGACTTAGCTCTCAGGGAATTGATTATTTCAAAGAAGTACTTTTGGAAGCTCATCACCTCTATAAGAAGTTGCTTATACCACTACTTTATTCTTTCTTCTTGCGAGAACACTACAAAGTGGGGCAAGTAGATGGTGCAGTGGGTAGAGAGCACTAGCCCTGGATTCAGGAAGACCTGAGTTCAAATCTAGCCTCAGACATACTTAACATTCACTGTGCACAGTGATTCAGCCCTGAACAAAAACCTCCTGGTGACATCTGGCTGCCTTAGCACAGGGGCACAGCTGCTTAATCTTAGGTCAGAGCAGTGACTGCTGTCTTGTCAGGACTGAGCTCTGTTGTCCCCACCCCCACCCCCACTGCCTCACTCATCCCAGGCCCCACATCATTCACACTTTACATTCTCCCAACAAAGGCAGGGCAGAGAGCTGATAATAATCCTCCTAGAGATTTGGGGGAATGTGGGAAGGACATAAACAAGTTGGATAATTAATATTAATTTTGCAAATACATCCAAAATTCTTCATTCTATCCCTCATGTATACATTGGGGAAGCAAAACTGTGAGTTTTACGAAGAATGACAAAATGTTGGCTCATTTTAATCCAAGCCTTACACCCTTCAGGTAAATCAGGCAGCTAGGTGGCACAGCCAGAAGTCAGGTAGAATCCTTTTTTTGAGTTCAAATCTGGCCTCAAACACTTATTGGCTTTGTGACCCTGGGCAAGTCACAGAACTTGGTCTGCTTCATTTTCTTTACCCATAAAATGAGATCAGATCGAGAAAGAAATGGCAAACCACTCCAGTATCCCAGCTAAGAATACCCTAAACGGGGTCACAAAAGGGTCAGACACGACTGAAATGACTGAACAACAACCAACCTTGCATCCATGTCCTCATTTATTCACAGTCATTCAGGGTAAGTCACCAAGCATTTTTAATCACCTTCTGTGTGCCAGACACTGTGCTAAGTGGTGCAGGTACAAAGACAGGGAAAATCAACCTCTGCTCTCAAGGACCCAGTCAGTGGGAGACAACAAAAGGCACCCAGCTATGTACAAACATTATGTAAAAAGGACAAATTGGAGTTAGTCAACAAAAGGTCTGTTCTAGGATTAAGGGGATGGGGGGGAAGTTCTTGCTGAATGGAGATGCGATTTTAGGTGGTACCTGAAGGAAGACTGGCATGCCAGGAGATG